ATCGCCTTGTTCTGTCGCATGCTCAGGGGTCGCTCCTCATCCTCGTCGTCATCGCTGGAGCTGCCACCACTTCCACCGCTGCTGCTGCTGATGGCCATGTTGCCGTTATTACCCTGGCCATGGTTGAGGCTCGCATGCTGCAGGTCCATGGCGTCCGTGGTGCCGTCTTGCGACGTCGACTCCCTGCCCTCGCTGCGACTCCTTCTGCCGTCTCCATCCGCATCCCCGTCCGCATCGCCATCGCTCGCCTCGTCGCTGTCGAAGTCGGAACAACTGCCCGACATACTGAAGTCGGAGCAACTGCTGCATGGACTGCTCGATTGCGAGGGTGCATCATCGCTGTCGCTCACGTCGCGCTGATTGTTGGCCCGGTAAACCCGGAAGCTGTCTGGGATTCGCTCGAAGGGCAGGGGCTCGGGCATGGGCAGCGCCTGACTGACGGCCACCGCCGGATTGGGCGACTTCTTTGGTGACATGGAGGCGCTGTGCCTCACCTCCGGTATTCGGCGATAGCGACCCGGCCTCTTTGGCGACTTGACGCCCAGACCCGCATTCAGTTTGCTGTTCATTGCGAGGTTCGTCGAGCTCAAGCTGGCGACTGCAGGGGTTCCGGCTGACGATGACACTCCCAGTGTTGCTCCCGATGCAAGGACACCACCACCACCACTGCTGCTGTTCTGCGTCAACGCAAAGTTGGAGACAGTGGGCGGAGCAGTGGCCAGGACGTGATTCAGCGTGCCCGTTGCACTGGAGGCAGCTGTGGCCGCCGTGGTGGCGGATGATGAGCTGCCGCTGGTGGACTGAGTGTTGGAGGACTGCGAATTGTGGTGCTCCTCTTTCACAGGCGTTGTTATTGGCTCCGAGGGTCTCTTCAGGGCAGCCTGCGACTTTCGCGTTAGCAATATGGCCGTTCTAGAATGGAATTAAAGAGGATTAACATGTAAGTAAAGCATTGTGAGAGGCCCACCCAGAAATTTAGCAGCAAAGAATTAACTCCAAAGATAATGAATGCCATCAATAAAACTAACCTTCGATTGATGCCCACAGGAGAACTACTGTTGTTAAGACTCTTTATTGGGCTGCAGGGCGGCGTTTGCGTGGAATTTAGCAAGTCCTTGGACACATTATCCTCGCCCATCGAATCTTCTTCAGATTCCTCTTCTTCATCCTCCTCGTCATTAGCCAGTGCCATGTCGACGGCACTGCTATTCAACCGTTTGCGCGTGCGTTTTTTAGAAGGCGAAGCTCCCACAGCATCCTCTTCTTCGCTTTGGGATTGGTTTGCGTGCAAGGAGTAGCGCTGTAGAAAAATAATACGTATTAGTTAAGATAGATAGCAAAGAAATCCATAACTCACAGCTGCAAATCTCGCCTTCTGGAGACTTTTGCGCATTCGCGTAATCTCCAACCGGATCTGCTTGATCTTCTTGGTGCGATAGCTGGGGTTCTTGAGCACCTGGGATTTGTCGGCGAGGATAAGCAGCTTCTGGACGATGTCTTCGCTGGAGGGCGCAGCCAGCAGCAATCGTAGTTCATGCTCCACCTCAGCTTCCACGTGGTCGATGTGGGAGCGTTGCGATCGCTCTAGAAGCCCATCCCGCTGCATCTCCTTCCGCAGCTGGACAAAGAGCGGTGCCGCCTGGTCGCGCATCCGGATTCCAGCGCGATAGAACACCGTGTCCTTGTTGTTGTACGCCAGACAGTTTTGAATCATCAGGTCGAAGTCAGCTTCTAGCTGCTCCAATGAGGTGTACTGGCACTCCTTTAGCTTCAACCGCATCGTGCCCAGATCCATGGGCTGCTTCACAATGTCTGTGTAGTCTGGCACCTCGCTGGTGTCCACGGGCTCACGGAAGATCTCCATGCTATCCCGCACCTCCAGCGCGTCTAGCAATTTTGATAGCGCCGCCTCCAGCGGATTGAGTTGCAGCATCACCACCTCTTCGGAGATCCGCACGAAGGCCACCTTCAGCTTCTCTCGCTTGCGCACCAGCTCGCACAGCAGGCGCGCCCGCTCGAGGTCCTGACGCAGGCATTGCCAGTACTTGAGCTGCCGGTACAACTCACCCGTGTCCGGCGACCCCTCGATGCCGTTCCGCTGGATCACGCCGTGGTTGTTTCCCTGGCTCTGAAGGCGTCGCAGTAAAGGCACACCGTTGCGATAGTGCCGTTTGAGCGTCCAATAGGCGATTATGCGGTCGAGGAACTCCTTTTTGCGCTGCATTGTAACCATGGTGGCGATCTCCTGCACTCTGTCCGGCGGAATAGTCGGAATTAGCACTACGGGCGCTGTTGAGCGCTTCTTGGCCAAAGCCTTGCGTGCCTCCCGCATTTTGTGGCGTGTATCCTCGAAATCCGGTACGTTCATCTTCAGCTTCGCGTCCGCCGGCGTGTGGGCGTGGCAGTAGGCAAACTTCTGGACGTGCATGGATGAGTCGTTGTGGCCGTCCTTGACCGTGTCCATGGTCATGTAGAGGCCCGCCTGCTGAGCGCAGGTGACGTGGAAGGCGGCGTAGCAGCTGTTCCGGTGGCACTGGATGCAGGCTCCCAGGCCCTTCTCCTTGCACACGTAGCAGGTGAGTCGCCAGCGAGCAGGGGGAATGGTCTCGATTGAATCTGCGGAAGAATGTCAACGTTTAATGGGGATTTTAAGGGAACAGGGGAGTACTCACCTATGGGTTCCAGGAAGACGGTGTTGGCGAACCGCACTTCCGGTATCCATAGAGCACACACCACGTGCGCCCACTGGCCGTGGTCCGTCTGCTTGAAGGCCCCACCGGCATTGGGACACAGAACGCAGTTGACGGGCTTGCTGGGCGACTGCAGGCATCGCCGGCACAGCCACTGGCCCTCTGGTATGTATGGCACCCCGTAGCAGTCTTGATGCACTGCCAGGTTGCACATGTCGCAGAAAAGTATCACGTTGGTGTTCTGGCACTCGCCGTCCAGACAAATGCAGCATACAGCGTCGTCGTCGACCTCGACGCCCGTGGGCGTGCCGTTGGCCGCCGCCTGGAAGTGCGACTCCTTCTCCAGACGGTCCATCAGCAGCTCCATGGTGTCGATGCCCACGGCATTCAGGCCGAGCCGCTGGCGCTCCTCGTTCATGTGCTCCAGCCAGGCGGAGTCCTCCTCGTCCACGTCGTACTCCACCTCGCCGTCCAGCTCCTCCAGCGACTTCTCGATGAAGCGGTAGTAGGCCAGTGGCCGTGGCGGGGCGTCAGGCACTCGGTAGTCGGGAATCTCGGCCACTCTGGCCTCTGGCACCTGGACGCGTGCCCAGGGCGCATTCTCCTCTAGCGGCGGTGCGTCGGCGTTCAGGATGCAGCCTCTGGTCACCAGGGCGGCGAACTCCTCGTCCTCCACGAGCGGCAGAGCGTCGTCGATGCCTAGGCGCACGCTCTTTCCGTCCAGGTTGAACGTCACTGTGGCCTCCTCCTCGTTGTAGGCCACCAGGGACTCGGGATTGGCGTACTGCCGCACGGGGCCTCCTCCAGACGTGGTCCCGCCACCCGTGCCGGCCGAGGAGCAGCCGTTTCGGGCTTCCGAGCCCCCGACTCCGGGCGCTGGATGCTCCTTGGGCGGCCGGGGCGTCGAGTGGTGGCCACCGGAGCGCGAGCGCGCCTTCTTTCGGCTGGGAGTCAGGACGGGCGTGAGTGGCTGGGGGTTGTCGTGGTCGTACTTCATCAGATGGTACTGCAGGCCCATGATGGTCTTGTAGCTGCGGTCGCATCCTCGCACGGGACAGGCGAATGGCGGCTGGGACTGCTGGCTCTTCACGCCCTTGCAGTACTCCACTGCGTCGAAGTCGAGGCCCATGTTCTGGATCTGCGGCGGGATCTGTGGGATCTGCTGCAGCTGGCTTCTCGGGGATTGGCGGTTCGCGGGTCGCGGATCGCGGGCACTGTGTCTACTCCGCGGCACGGGTGCGCATACGTATGTGCATCCCACGGTGGTCGTCGCAGAGCGCGCGGTTTTGGCTGTCCACCGTTCCTGGTCGATTTTCGTTGGCTTGTTGCAAATTTTTTAACAAATGTGCTAGCGGTGGGCAACTTGGTCAGCTCGCCATGGCGATACTATCGGCGGCGAGTATTCTGCAACACTGGAGGGGTAGGTAAACAAATTGTCCAAAATGTGGGGTCTCCTAGCTTGTTACACTCTTTAAATAAGTTTGTTTTGTTCAAATATTTCCTCTTTGGGCTTAAAAATATCAATCTTTCATAGTTTTTGTTTCAAATTTGGGTATTGCTAAGGCTTGCAGCACTGTTTTCTAGAGGTGGTACTTGGGAGATCCAGCTGGAACTAGTTCAACTTAATTATAAAGTAGGACCTGGAATATGTTAGAAAACCTGTTTTTATCAGTTTTATTGAGCTACTGAATATTACTTTTAGGTGTACAATGCATATCCCCTAAAATGTACTTCTTAAAACCATATTTGGTTATGTTTTTCATTTTGCGCGGGAACTTTCTCGCCCTTGCAGTGTTGACTAGCGGCGCTATCAATGCGTCTTACCGAACGCAAAGCGCTGTTAACGGCTAACAGGGCTAAAACAAAGCCCATATTAACAGATGCTTCCGCTGTAGGATTTTTTGGCGGAAAACTTAGATTTCTTATCGATGTTTAAAAAGAAAATGTTGTCAAACATTTGTGTATATTTTTCTGCACCTCTAATGGTGTTGTTTGAATTAAGTGAAAATAAAAATAAAAAAGTGGTGGTTATTTAATTAACCCTTAATGTTCGATTGCAGGTTGCTTAGGCAAGGCTTGTAGAGAATAATAAATAAATCTATTAAAGTTATCCTTAATATCATTTCAATATTTCGTCAGATGAGCAAATAGTGCTATGATCAAAGTGCATTTTCTATATTGTGTTAAAACTGGAGTGGAAAATAACAGAGTGCGTAAGAGCTGTAGTAAAGTCGTTAACAGCGCACCGTTAGAGAGAGAAAAACATCGTTTAAAACATCGATAACGTCGATGCTGGCATCGATGTTTCTCCACCTCTAGCTGACGCGCGTCTACATTGCCGCCATTTGAAAAAAACGAAGTAATCGGAGGAATTTTGCAGTTTGTCAGATACAGTCGCTAGCAATGGAGGACATCTTGGGCGTGCTGGGCTCGCTTTCGGAACTGCGGCGCGAGCTGGAGGTGCTCAGCAAGGTAAGGCCACGATCAGGACCCGAAATTCCTCCACAGTCAACATGGCGTCATCTGTTTTTTTTTTTTCGCAGGCCCACTTCGAGGAGCTGGACCACCTCTTCTACGGCAGTGTACATTCGGAGGCGGATGCCAAAACGGCGGACAGTGCGCCGACGGCCAGGAGCCAGGAGAACTCCTCGGTGACTCCGCAGCAGACGAAGAAGCGGCCCAAGCGACTCAGCTCTCTGGCCGAGGATCAGGACGACTCCGAGGGTGAGTATTCCTGTCCACATGAACGCCCGAGCCCATCTAATGATCTATTTTAGCTGCCACGGACACCACGGCCAGCTTCTCGGCCCGCCCGACAGTTCGGGTCAGCAATTCCCAGCTGCTGGCCGTCGCTGAGGATGAACTCAACTCCACGGCCTCGCTGATGCCGCCTCCGCCCGCGCCCACGCCCGCGCTCGCCCCGGCGGACACCACCCTAAACTCCGGACGGCCACAACGCGCTGCCAAGCTGAAGTCCGAGAAGCTGCTCAAGGAGCCCTCGATCAACCGCAAGATGCGCCGGCCCAGCAACGAAGAGAGTATTAAGGTCAAGGTGGAGAGCGAGCAGCGAGTCTCCCAGTTCGATAGTTCCACCAGTGGGCGGCCTGCCCAGAAGAAGGAGCAGAAGGAGTCAGAGTCGGAGCCAGCAATCCCAGCAGCCCCAGCAGCAGTGCAGCGGGAGAAGTCACAGGCGGAGCCTTCCGAGGGCGCCAATACAACGAAGCCTCTGCGCGTGAAGATCAAGCGCGAGAAACTAAGTAACGAAGCATTGGCCCCTCCCACTGATGCGTCTACCGCAACAGATGTAACCACCGCCTCCTCCGTGACGATGGATGTGGTCCGGCCGAACGATACAATGGCCAACAATACAACGACCAGCAACATAACGACCAGCAACACTACGGCCAGTAACACAACGACCAATAACACAACCACCACCTCTGAGGTCGTCAAGAAGGTCCGCAAGAAGAAGAAGGACGTCGAGAACCACCGACCGATCAAGGTGGAGCGCTTTAGCGACCTGGACAAGAACTCGCCAGTGTCGTCGCGCACACGCAAGGGAAGCACCGAGTCGGGACCGAACCGGGAACGCTCCATCTACAAGGACGCACTCGAGGGTCCGCCCATTGCAGAGCAATCAGTGGCTGTAGCTGCTCCAGCCGCTGCAAACGAGACGGTGACCATTTCAAACGCAACCATGGTACTGGGTCCAGCACCCACAGGCGACAGCCCAATGGGAACGGCTTCGGATGCCACCTTCGAGGTTCAGTCCGGCGAAAAGAAGCCGCCAGTGATTAAGCAGGACAGTCTGCTCACAGAGGACGAGTCGCTGGAGGAGAAGTTGCCGCCGGCAAAGCTGATATCGAACATCAAGGCTATAAAGCTGCCAACTCGCACCCACGAGCTATTCAAGTAAGTAGCACCATAGCACGCATGTGTGATTCATGGGTAATGTAACTTTATCAATCCAACAGCCCACTCCTGCAGAGTCCGGTGAAGCTCCGCGTGGAGGCTTTCGAGAATGCGGCCCAGGCGCAAGCCAATTCGCGTCCCAAACGGGGCAAGGAAGTGGTGAGTAACCTAATAAATGAAGGCCCGATTTGTTTATTAAGGATTTCCATTATAAGGTCATTTAAATATCAGTGCTTTCATCAGGCTTTACATTTGATTTCATACAGTTTTTTATTTTGTATTTCTGTTGGGAGCGCAATTCTAAATCTAAGTTTCAGCTAGGGTCAACAAAACTATCTAGGAATAGGTTCTCTTTTTCCAACAATTTAAATATTGATAATAGATCATTTTGTTTAAATAATTTAACCAGCTGAACTTAGCTTGGGTTAATTTATTGATATATCATTTTGCACAAATATGTTGTCAGTCTGATCTAACCAAACGACAATTTAAAAGGTATTGAAAATAATTATCTTGACTGATATTGGTAAAGGTGTGTCCGTATAAATACATATAATGAATATAGATCATAAAAATAATAGCTTACGTTTATTATTATCAAAACCTTTTAAATCCTTAAATTTTTTAGTTCGCCCTTAGGTATGCATGAACAAATCATTGGATTCTAAAATTACTGTTTTTAATTTAATCAGAAAAAAGACAACGTTACGTGTTGGTCTTTTCTTTCTTACGTCCGGAAAACCGCATAATCAGTTTATCCTTCCTTTCAGCAGGGCACCCCGGGGTCCAGCAACACTCCCAAGATTGGCAAACTTCCCGCTCCGACGATGGGTCGCTTCTACACGCCGACGCAGACGAGCAGCACGCTGCCCTTGAGCTCCGCGCAGCCCAAAAAGGGACCTGCAAGCGCGTCCAAGGCCATTCCTTTGATGAAAACGGCCACGGGGACGAACCTGAAGTCAGCCAACTCTACGTCTACCAAGACACTGTCGCGCGAGAACAGCGGCGATGACTTCCGCAAGGGACTGCACAACCTTGCCGAGGAGCGCAAGAAGCTGCGAGAGCAGAAGCACCAGCAGGCGGCCCAGCAGCGCGAGGCCAAGGAACGGGAGCGAGCCGAGCGCATGGCCAAGTTGGCCGCCGAGCGGGCCAAGAAGCAGGAGGAGCGAAAGCGCTTAGAAGAGCGCAAGCGGCAGGAGCTGGAGGAGATCCAGCGCAAGATGCGCCAGCAGGAGGAGGCCGAGGCGCTCAAGAGGGCCAAGATCAAGGAGCTGGAGCAACAGAAGCTGCAGCAGCTGACCGGCGCCAAGCCCAAGAAGATGCTTCCGCCGCCGCCGAAGACCAAGTACACCTGGGAGATGCTGCACGAGGACGACTCCACCGACGACGAGGGCAAGGTCACACATAAGCGCCCTCCCGCACCCACCTGGAGTCGAAGTAAGTTTGCCAAATAAAATGGTAGTTTAAGTTTCCATACAGAATTTCGAATAGAGAATTCGAATTTTTTTTTTCATTTTCAAGGCTATAGCAGAAATGCTTTTAAGTTATTCTGTTTGCCAATTTCTTATAGATATATGATAATCTAAAACATCCAAACAGTGATTTTTAAAACCAATTTTACAGTAGAACGCAATTACCATTTATTAACGATGCTATGGATAATAGAAAATAACATTATTCTTAGTTTTTCAAATGAAATTTAGGACTTGCAGTGCATTTGATCAGTTTCCTATTGAATTTCGAAAAGTAAGAAAATATTTGTTGAGCCTATGATTTACATGTGTAATAAACCATATGCCTTATTCATTATTTAAATGATATATTTGTTAATTAGTTTGACTAAAATCTAACTATCCTTTTTATTCCAGGCCATGTGAGAGGGGAGGCGATCGCCATGCAGAGCCATTGCCCCACCGACATCATCGACAGTTTCTTCTCGGTGGTGCCCACCACGCCGGACCTGAAGCAGATATTCCCGAACATCGATCCCAGCCAGCTGAAGCGCAACTCCAGCGTCCTCTGGTCCACGCCGCCGCGCTACTCCGAGCTGCCGAAGTACTAGCCTAGTAGTCCTGTTCCCTTTACCCGTTAATGCACATGTTTATGATCGAATGAATAAAGTTAATTGAGAAAATTAAAGTCAAGTACCGCTGCCCGATTCACTGCGACTCTGACATTAATACGCAGGTGCTTAAGAACTATTAAAGCCGCCAGCGTGCTCAATAAATGGTTCGCTGGTGGCTGCTTGCCGATTCCATTAGCACAGCTGCCCAACAATGGAGAAGTCGATTCGTGAAAAGTGTGAAAACGCAGAAGATGGAAAGAAAATAAAATAAAAGAAAACAAGCCCGGCAAACACAATTTCACTGGTCATGGGGCATGGTTTTGTGGCATGTTGAGCAGACGATCGAACAGACTGCCTTGATTCGATTCTCTTTCATTATTTTTGCATTGCTAAGCTCAGTTTTCTTCTGAGCCATTTTCATTTTTAATTGAAAGTCAAATTTAGCGGAATCAGCCGAAGCAATTTGCATAGTAATGGCCACTGATTTGAGTGCTGTCCGCCAGGAATTCGCCATCGATCTTAGGACGGGACCGGCACAACCCTAAACCACGATCTAATTAAGGAGCGTATGTTCGCCAGATTGCCACTTTCAATCGTTATTGTTTCCGTTCAAACGGCCTCTGTCAGTGGCACTTACTCACCAAGTGTTTAAGGCGCAATCCAGCTTTTCGCAGATAAGCTGTCAAGAAATTCAGAAGGATTCGGTGTAGAATATTTGTTACTTTAGTCAACAAATCGCATTATAAATTCACATAAAAATCAAAATTACTTTTTAAGATTATAAATGTAGAGAAAAGGAATTGCCTTGCTATATCCAATTTTAAAAACTATAAACTTTGATCTATTGAAACCATCAACATTAGAATTTGTTTTTCAGAACTTTTTGAGTATTTCACTTATTTTTTTCCCAAAATAATTTTTTTATTTTTAATTTTTATCATTTCGTTATCCTCCTTTTATTTTATCCAAATATGATCTTCAACATATCCTTCATGTTCCTTTGTAGAGGGTATTAGTTTATGCCGTTTCAGCCACATCCCCTGAGTTTATTATAAAACCTTATATCCCACTGATGTCATATATTTGTTTCTCTGACCATAGTGCAAGCTAATCAAGTTGTAAAATCTTGACGATCGGGAATGAAACTCACTTACATATGTTTGGTACAACTGTAAGGTATTAACTCTTTATGATTTTATCCATAAAGAGGAGTTTATTTTATTGCAATGCGAAATGTACATGTTTTACTCCAGTATTTGGCCGTCTATTTGGCAGAGACGACCTGAAGACTGGCCAGCGAATCTTTCATTCCCGAGTACTCTTCCGAAGAGCGATCGCTCCTCCGGTTTCTCGTTTCTTCGGCTTCTTCGCCGCGGAGTCTTCGGGCCACAACCTGAGTCAGTTTGAGTCGAGCGTTCGAACGGTGCGCACCTGTTGACGGTTTCTTGGTAGGTGATCGCGCTTTGTGGGCCAGAAAAGTGAGGAGCCAATTCGGTCGGGGCTTCGTTGTGCGTGTGTGCGAGTGTGCGTTCGAGTCGTCGTCTATGAAAAGTGAATAACTTAAGCGGGCTTAAAGCCAACGCTGCGCATGCGTGTGAGTGAGCTGCAGAAAGAAAAGAGTGTTTTTCTCGGTGTGAGCCAAACGGGGAATAGGAATAGCGAATATGTAAACGTATACCGAATAAATGATATTTGTGCGACTCGCGTTTGTGTGTGTAGACAAGCAGAAATACATATATACATATACATATAGCCCCAAAGCGGCAGCAACAAAAAACTTCAAAAAACTTTCTTTTTTTCGCGCTACCTTTTTGCCTCGACTGGCAGTTAGTTTTGTCTGCGGCTTTTGTTTACGCTCGCTGTGAAATTGGTTGCAAATTCATAATTTGTCCGCCGTTTCACTCCCAATTAGAGAGCCACTCTGGCCCAGGAGTGTCAGTGAATTAATTGGGCATTTTTTCTTTTTTTCGCGAGAACAACCGCCAGGTTGGCGGTCCCAACCGGATACGTGGTCCGCTGCAACCTGTCGGTCGGCCTACACACGTCCGCCGACTGCAATGCGATCCGCTAAATGGCTCTAAGCCAAGTCCCAGTCCACGACCAAGTCCAAGACCAAGTCCAAGACCAAGAGCGAGTGGAAGTCCACAAGTAGACTGCCCACTCCCGATTCCCGTTCCAGCACTTGATACTGTTAGTTGTGCCATTTCGAGCGCACTTGTGCCAATTTTCCGGGCAGCAGCTGTCGCTTGATTTTTGCTTTTCGATTATTTAGAGTTTTGCATTCCTTCAAGCCGCAAAACCGCATTTCCACTCGGCTCGATCGTGGCCGAAACTCAAGCTGGATTTGGCTCTGGGTCGGCGAGATCTTCAATTTGGTGTGCCTTGTCGTTTTTTTGCAGTTTGTCTGGTGAAATTTTTCATTATTAGCGTTATTTATGTGCAAAATCTAATTGAAAATAACGTGCAATACCCGCTGCACGCAAAAACATCAATCAAATCTCGGCGATTGCAATCGCATGATTAATGGAAACGCTTTGAGGTGAGTCCGAAATGGAAAAGCAGCGAACAGGAAAATTTGTGGATTGAGTCTTGTGGAGAGGGGGGTGAAATTCCATTAAAACAGCAGCTTAAAGGACATGTATGACTTACTTTCCTCAGTGGCAATACTTTGGCATAACTGACAGTCATTAAGATCATGCCTTATGCAACTTTTGATTTCGTATTTCGGACACACTTATGTTTCTCTCTGTCAATATATCTCAACTCCCTTTTTTTCACTTCACCTTTTATCCACCTTCACCTTCCTCTGACTTTTGTTTTGCCGGCTCAGAAAACGGTTACGCAACAGACAAAGCTCCAAAAAAAATGGCTTATGAAAAATCACATGAGTCATTTAACTGAAGAAGATATGAAAGAAATGAAAACTAATTACGAGCTGCAACTTCCGCTGGGTGTTGAAAAAAAGTTGAAAAGAAAGCAAAGTTGATAAAACCAAAAATTATTCCTATGAAAATGTAAACAAGCGCCAGTGTGGGCGGATCGCTCAATGGAAAAACAAAAAACAATCCGCTGAAAAATGGAGTCATTTAATGACAGCCCAGAAAGCAACAGAAAACAACGACAACTCGCCCACGAAGAAAACAGTGTTTGTTGTGGTTTTGCTCTTCTGGCTGCTCACGTAAAACTTTCTATTTCACTGGGATTCTTCAAGCGTACAGCGGAGATTTCAAGGTTCCTTTTCGAGACCGAAACCGAACGGCGGGTAAACAGAGAGCATAAACAAAGCAAAAGAGCTGCCAAAATCAGACCTGGACATGACTCAACTGCAGGCGGCATATGACCGGTCCGATCCGGTCTGAGATCACGTATATACCCGAATACTCGAACACTCCAATGCTCGTATGCTGCGGAGGCAACCTTTAGCTTACCTTTCCTTTCCATTTGCTACCTCCGTTACCGCTGCTTGGCTGGATGCTTTCACTTTCCATCTAATGCCCGGCAATTGCTTCAGTTACTGCGGTTTGCGATCCAGATCTTGTTTTGGCTTCTGATTAGCACTAGCACGCCACACACACACACACACACATTGGGTAATCTCGAGCCACCGAAATCGATTAGGGCTTGTCCGCGGGCAACTGGCGACAGATCTGCTCCAGTTGATAAACTTGGAATTTCACTTTTGCTTTCTGACACCTCAAATTGTGCTCCGACTTTCGCTGCAACCAATTTCTGAGCGTCTTGGACATCAATCAAAATTAGCATTTCAATCAGCCGGGTTCAGTTAGTCGCTTGAATGGAACGCTTCACTTTACGTAACTGGGAAATAACAGCAAAGTTTTTCTGAAAGTGTTTTCTTTTCCAGCCGTTTAGATAGCCAGGTTTATTGACTTACTAAGCCGCTGCTTATGTAAATGCCAATGCTACTTTTGTGGAGTACTGCCAGTTAATGGGGCTTCGACCTATGCTTTTTAGACGTAATGTCCACTGCCAACTTTCGTGGCACATTTAGGGCTGAGTAATTGAATTTTAGTGATTCAGTTTGTGTGCAATGGACTCACCCAAAAACAAAAGACTCAAGACACAAACTCTAGAATCATTTGCAACCTTTACGCTCGTCTGACCACCTTTCTCCCTCTTTTCAGCATAAATACACACGGTCAAAGCCAAAACATGCCTCACCAGGGCACGGTTCATCAATAAAAAAAACGAAATACCAATAATAAATAATAGAAACCGCTGACAATAACCCTCGAAGAGGTAAAAGAGTGTGGTAGTTTATGCAAACATGCGACGAAAGCCACAGAATTTAACACACAATATACAGTCGAGTAGAGCCGCAGACAGAGGCGGAGGAGGAGTTGGAGTTGGACTCGGAGTTGGACTCGGAGTTGGGGTTGGAGCTGGAAGAAGGGGCCGAGGCACCTCCCAGCAGTCAGCAATTTCCAACAATAGAATGCCAAGAGACCATCGACACTTGATGGCCATGGCAGTGTCGACGTTGCCACTGGCTCTTCTGCTGCTCCTCGTTCAAATAACAGGTAAGTCTTGGCCAAAATCGGGGGGAAAGGGGCGGGCAACACGACAGTGACATGCCCAACAAAAGAATTTCACATGCATTCAGTTAATAAATTGAACTTTAATTGTGAGGCCTGTGCCGGCAGCCAACTTTCACGGTGTCGAACAAAGTGGGAGGATGAAAGTTGAGATAGCAAGGCCATGATCTTCAGCAGATCTTAGCATAGATTTCTCAATTGATAAAATACACTGGATAAGGCTGCGATTTAGGCCCTCTAATTCCATTGTCCCATTGCTATTCTATTACCAATGATCGACCTATAAATATTCTTCTTTTAAGTAAGGTCAGGAGTTTATTCTATTGTATATATTAAAAATATAGGAAGAGCAATAAAAGAAAATAAGACTGCCAAATGCACTCTTGTGCATCATTTGAAGAACCCACCCAATCTAGCGGTCATCCGAATCGAAACTCTGTCTTAGCCAAGCGAATCTCCCGCACTTGTTCTGAACGGATCTTATCTGCGCAATAATCACATGTTTTCATCAAAGGTTCTGCTCAAGTGAGCATTTAGTTATTGCAAACGGAGATACATCAAACCACTTTTTCCACACGTGAGCATAATTATAATTTTAATCTGTTACATTTCCGAGGAATGTCGGATCACAAAAAACTGAAAAATAAGAAAGAATTCGCCCCGACATGCCAACAGTTGATGAAGATGCCCGAGGCGGGCACAGTACGTGTTTATTCTTCTCCATTTCTGCCGTTCATTTTCGTCTTCTCCTTTTTAGAAAGCTTGCGTTTGCTGCATAATTTATTAGGCGTTACAAAGAATGCATAGCTGAGGTTTACCTGGTACCTGAGCAGCTGAGCACCTGAGCACCTGAGTGCCTTCAAACTGTGCCAAACGTAATGAAGTGTGCTAACTGTACTGCTCTGTACTGTATTCCACTGTAGGTGTCTCTGAACACCCGCACAAATGCGTTCAATTGTCGAGCACGCCAAGAAGTTTGTTAATTTTCTTTTTTTGCCACTGAAATACGGGCTTGACCCACTAAAATCGAGATATGTCACTCGATGTCTCTTTCTCGCTGGGTGACACATTTCAAACGGCTTTGAAGAAAACCTCAAAACTGGGTCGATCGCATCTGCATCTGGGTTGTCTAGTGCTGATCGCATCTCGGGGCTTATGATTCATTGGTAACCTCTGTTGCACAATTGCGATTATTCATACCGGATTCATTGACTTTTTCTTGGGCTTGTCTTGGGTTTTTGCGTTTGTTTGGTTCCAATTCGCTTTGTCGCTTACAAAGTGCGTGACGCGCGTGAATCGAAGTTAATTAATGTTTATTATGGCTTTTGCATGCGTGGTTCATAATCGTTAAGTGACGCTCAGCTGAGCTTATGTAATATGTGAAAATTTATTCGTCATTAGGCATGGCAAGCCAACTTCAATTGGGCACAAAAAAACTAATCAGAATGAAGGAGTGTAATGAAAACATCATGGATACCTAACCAGCGATGGCAAAAAATAGTTAACGTTCTTATAATGAACACATAATTAGTTAGAAGCTATGACTTAACAAATGTGAAAGCTTCTATAGTAATTCCTATTACAATACACATTTAATTTGAAACACCTTTGTCATTTAATTGCCCACATAAAATAAAAATAACAGTTTATAAGATAACTTAATACTAATGATCAAGAAATGATATCTGTTTTTTCGACAACTACAAAATTACATTTGTTTTAAATGTTTACCACCATTGAGCGGCTTTAATTTGATTTAAAAATAAACATATACATATATTAATATATATGCAAAATTCGTTGCCAGTTATTCAAATTTGTTTTTTTAATACATTTAATATTGTACTAAACTGTTACAAACATTTTTCTTTTTATTTTTTGAATCTCCATGATAGATTTAAAAGAACATTAAAATGAATTAAAAAAACATCACCATCATCACCATTCTAAGAAGTGCTTATTAAAATAAATAAAAGAAACGTTTTTGGTAAAGAAAAGAAAACTTCCATTTAAAAAAAAAATAATTTCAAACATTAAATTTAGTCTCACAAAAGAAACTTAGTAGATTTGACCCTAGCGGTTAAAATACAAATTGTCATGACTTCCTAAAAGGAATTAAAAAGGGGCGTTTTTTAAAACTATAAATTGGGGTTGATGTGCTAATTTAAAAAATCATAAATTCATGAAGATTCTTAAGAAATCAGAATCCTCATTTTAAGAATTCGCGGGGGTTTCAATTCCTATTTTTATTCAAGTGTACAAGCAATATTATAATAAATGAAATTGAAATTTATGCGAATCTTGGAATTAAGAAAGTTAGATTGTGTTCGGTAAGTTTTCCTTAGTGCACTGCTTCGAGAGGGATTTGTTGCTTGTTAATGCGCATTAAGTGCCAACTTCCCATACGAAGTCGACAATTAAGTGCGCGGCATGGCCCTAACCAGGAGCACCATTTACTTATGCATTCCATCGAAAGCCGCTGCTCCGCCAGGCAGCCACTGAAACCGCTTAATTGCACGAATCCGGCCAACTGAGGCGGGCAGCTCTAGCTCTCAGCGGGCTGGAATCAATTAAAGCTAACTGCACTGTTTACTGGGCCATTTGAAGTCGGGCCAAAACCTTTCATGCAGCTAATAAGCCACATTGGCATGGGGGGAGTGCCGAGGGTTCTGCCGCGGAATTTACATAGAGTCGGGCTGGAAAATTGGGTGAAGTGAAAATTATTTTACAGCAAGCTTAATTAAAAGAAAACAGAATCTCGGAGCGCCGGACTATTCAGTTATGGCTTACTGAAACAGTTAACAGTTAGCATACACCCAAGCTAACGGCTTTTCGGGGCTTTCGATACACAGATACACGGAGCGAATTGAAATCTCAATGGGGCATTTGAGCCACTGGAAAAGTGTCAAAGAAAGCGCCATGAGTTGGGCTTTTCAGTTTCCGTAGTCCAGCATGACTGAGTCAACAGATCGATGGATTGGTTCGGGTTCGGGTTCGGGTTCGGTTGGGATCTCATCTGTGACACTATAACCCGCTGACTTACTACTTCAACCTGTTGGCTTTTTCGATTTCGTTTTGGTTCCCCCTTGTTTCAGCCTTTTCCCCTGGCAGTCCTCTCCTTCAGTCACAACTGTTAGGCTGATTAAATTTTCAGATTAGCTGGTTCCACAAGCAATCTTTCCTTCTTATTTTTTTGAGTTTTTTTTGGCACATTTCGGTTACATGGCCCACTTGGCTGGAGTAAGTGAGAGAGAGCTCCGAAGAACGCTGCCTGATGGGAAAGAGGTGGAAGAAAGAAGCCGACAACGTTGCAGGCTGAGCAGAAATTTATCGCTTGACTTTTTATTGGGTCAAGAGGCAGGTTCGTTTGGCAGGTTTCTTATATTTTGTGGATCTCTGCTTGGATTTTTTCTTGGCCAGGGAACTTTTGTGGATTCTTGGTGGGCCACCTGTTCAAGAGCTGGCAATGCTGATGCAATTTATTATGGAATTCTCGAGCACTTCACAACAGGATATTTGAGGTTTGGCAACTGCGCAGAGGCAAGAATTATAATATTAATTAACATGGGCGCAGCTTGGTTTCTGGTTCCAGCTGTTCTGTTCTTTATTACATGTTTTAGTTTTCTGCTTTAATTAGATCAGTTTTTTTTTCGAGCCTTTTTTATCGTCAATTATTATCATACCAAAGAATCATTTCTTTGGTAGATACAGCTTGAAAAACAGTAGTCGATTCCCTATTCTGTTGAAAAATTATTCAATTCTTTGTATTGCAAAGTGATTAACTTTCCGTGGGAACTTCTTTTTATGTATTAACCAGAATTTCTACAGTGGTATCAATAAATCTCACATCTTTTTTATGACTTTAAGAAAGCATCTTCCTTTCCCTTTCCACGCAGTCAGTTCCGAAAGGTTCAAGCTCGTAATCAGCTCACATGCTGATCGCTCGTATTCAATTAACTTAAGCGTTTCTCCACCCTGACCGAAGCATTCAATTAGAGGCGAGCACAGACTGAGCTTCAGTTGGGATGCGATTGGGATGCCCAATCAAAACATGAAACCGAAGCCGTATCAATAACTGCATACTTTCCCTTTCCCGTGAGAAGAGAAGCGACTCTCGGATTGGGATGCCCAAAATTGTACAATGAAATTCAGCACATCGAAAGTTGCCAGGCGTGCTCACACATTCAGTCTGCCGGGCAGGCCCAGCCACACACCCATCGGCAGGCGATGCCAACTGAACCCACAATTTATCTCGTTTTTGCTTTTCCTTTTCTGATTTTTGCTGGTCATTTTCGATCTTCTTTAATGGCTGTCCTGAGGCGCTTTGGGCCCAGATTAAATTGCAGTGGGATAGAGAACAGAAGGGAATGCCGCGGGGAGAAGGGTAGGCGGGGTGCTTTCTGGAGACCCTTTCATGTGTCGGCGTTGACAATCAATGGCAATCAATGAAAATACTCTTTTTATGCTCTGCGGTTTTTATTTTGGAGACCGCTTCAAACCGGTTAGATGTGGAATGTTTTAAATTCAGACTCTTCTTGGCATACATTTTAGCATAATTTGGCCAAGACAGAACACGCATTTCGTAGGTTTTTTGCCCATGTCACAGGAAATGTTTAACAACAAACCGAGGGCTTGAAGATAAGAATAAGGTTTATTTAACAAAAAAAAAACATTTTCGACGAGAGCAAACTAAAACCTACTTTATAAATGAAGTCTTTAATAAAAATAAACAATTAAAAACATTTAAAAGATTGTTATTTTTTTACAACCAAAACAAAAGACTTAGGAAACAAACTTGACCAGAAAACATTAAGCTTAGAAAAATTAATTTATGGTCGCAACTACATTTTTTTTTATTAAATGTAAAATTCATACATAAATACAAAAATGTTAATGTAGTTTAATTTCCTAGAGCAAAATCAAAAGACTTAGGCAACAAACTTGATCACTTACGGAACATTTTAGTTAAAGTCAAAACAAAAGAC